TTTTTTGGGTTTTTGTATTGGTAGGTTTTTGATTGCAGATTACATGGTTGTTCTCAGGATCTCATCTTTCCCGTAAGTTTTTTTTTCTTGATTGTTTAAAGTTGCCTATCTGCCTGGGTTCTTGAGTTCTTTTCACTGCAATACATGCTATGGTCAGGCTGAGAAACAAACTCCATGGAACCATCTGGATGAAGAAAATGTACCTTGTGGCCCAAATTGCTATCGATCGGTAAATGTCTGATCATTGTGATATGTATAATTCTCTTATGTCTTAACATAGTATATTAGTACTTATGGCGATTCAAATTGTTCTCTCAGGTGCTGAAGTTGGAAAGAATTGCCACTGTGAGCTCTCCCACCAAGGGAGATACTGAAGAGAAGTCTAACTCTTCATCTGATGGCATAGGGGCTCAGATGTCATCTAAAAAGAAACCTTCTAACCTGTCTGCTAGAGGGAGGTTGAAGTCCTGCCAAAGTGAAAGCGCTTCTTCGAATGCAAAAAATATTTCAGGAAGCAGTGACTCGGAGATTGGACCCCAGCAGGAAGACACATCGATGGCCCACCAGCTATCTCCTTCCAAGGCTAAACTTGTTGGAAAATCTGGAATTCGTAAGAGGAACAGCAAGCGAGTTGCTGAACGAGTTCTAGCTTGCATGCGTAAAAGGCAGAAGAAGACAATGATTTCTGATTCTGATTCTGTTGCTAGTGGAGGTGTCTCACAAATTGATACAAAACTCAGGCCTAATTCACGAAAAGAAAATGAAGATGCCACGTCTTCTTCGCAGAAGAATGTAAAATCACCAACAACTGGAAGGTCTAGGCGGAAAGACTGGTCATCTGGTGAAGGTCCTGATGTTTTGTCAAATGAGAAGAATGTTGGCCTGCCTGTGGTTCGCAGCAACAGTGCCCCCAAAAAAGAAGAGTTTGTGGATGAAAACACATGTAAACAAGAACTAAGTGATGATAAGTCTTGGAAAGCTGTTGAAAAAAGTCTTTTGGAGAAAGGGGTGGAGATTTTTGGCAGGAACAGGTTGGTATAAAGAATATACAATGCTGAATGCATTCTAGTGACTTTATTACTTTCCTTCATACTTAATTAGCTTTGGTATTCTCTTAATTAGGTGATTTATATTTGATTACTTCTCATAAAACAGTGATCTTGTTTATTTTTATTCTAACTTATTGACATGTAACAGCCCTTGTTTTGACATGCTACCTTTCTTTATTTTGCTTTAAATGCATCATCACATGCATATTTTAGGTTTCTGGAATTAATTTCTATTATTAGGTTTAAGCATAATAAAAAATTTATTAGTTTTAAATGACTATGGGTGTAGCTGAAGTTTTCTTGGTAGAATCAGATCAAAGCCATCTTTAAAATTCTTTTGATTGTCATCTTCTAAAAATTTAGAATTTTAGCATTAGCAATTCCTCGTCCAAGAGTTATTTAGCTTGTTTGACAATACTTGCTACTCTTTTTATGTAACTTGATTACTGTTTTTCCATGTTTAATGGACGGTTGCATTATATGTGCACCTACAGCTTTAGGCTTCCTTTCAGTTGATTGTTTTCCATCAAGTTACAGTTCTCTATTTTCCATGGCAGCTGTTTGATTGCCAGAAACCTTTTAAATGGCTTGAAGACATGTTGGGAGGTTTTCCAATACATGACTTGTTCTGAGAATAAATTGTCTTGCCAAGCATCTGATGGTGTAATTTCTCTTCTTGAAGGCTATCCGAAGTTTGACCTGAATGGAGCTATGGTTGGTATTTTTGTTTCATTTTGTCTTTGTAGGTTATAAGTATTTCTATGCTCCAATTAATAATGAGTAATCTTTTTGATAATCATGCTCTTCTTTTATTTTTTATTTTCCTTTTCTTTAATGGGGTTTTTTCAATCAATATTAGGGTAATAATGAAGTAAGGCGGAGATCAAGATTTTTACGTAGACGAGGTAGAGTCCGTCGCTTGAAGTATACCTGGAAGTCTGCAGCTTATCATTCAATTAGGAAACGGATTAGCGAGAGGAAGGATCAGCCATGCCGCCAGTATAATCCATGTAATTGTGGAACAGCTTGTGGCAAGCAGTGTACTTGTCTTTTGAATGGGACCTGCTGTGAGAAGTACTGTGGGTGAGTTGTTATATTTCCATCTTATTCCCACCAAAGCATCTGGATTTTATACATTATTCACTACTTTGTCCTGATTTGGTGTTCAGAATTTAGATGAATGTTCACGTTTTCTAAGCATGGTAGGATATTGTTAACTAACATTTTCTTTTGTGTTTTGTTTATCTAGTTGTCCAAAGACTTGCAAAAATCGTTTTAGAGGTTGTCATTGTGCTAAAAGTCAATGTCGAAGCCGTCAATGTCCCTGCTTTGCTGCAGACAGGGAATGTGATCCAGATGTTTGCAGAAATTGTTGGGTCAGGTGAGCTCTAACTTTTGTTTTGTATTATCTTTAGTGCTACTTAGTAGCCTTTCCATAAGAATGTAGTTGCTGCTGTTTGTTCTGAAGTTGTATCTAAAGAGTATCTATTATGTAAGTAAGGCACTTTGTGTTTTTTCTATATTCTGAACCTTGTATGTTAGGAAATCACTAAGTAGTTTTTGAGTGCTGTCAAACTCAGCCTTATCTTCCCTTCTCATTCATGAATGTTTTTAATTAAGAATAATTGCTGTACAAATGAGCATGCTTCCATGTTATTGTTCATGCTTTCAGCCTTATGCTTCCAGGTTTTGAGTACCTTTATGAATGTTTTAAACAATTTGTCTAACAAATTCTGATGAGCATCTTTACAATTGGATTGATAATTAGATCAGAGTAAATGATTGTTTTTTGAAACAGAAACATAGTTTCAGCTAGAGATGGATTGCAAGCATTGGCCTGCAAATAGTGATGTCCTTACCATTTCTTTGGGATAGTATAAAGATTGTAGTTCATGGTGCAATCTGAGGTTGGGGATGGTGGTTGTGATGATTTTTGAGCACTCTCACTTTTATGTTTCCTTGCCACTTGTCAATCTATAAGTTTGATCCATTCCACTTTTCTTTTTTGATATAGTTGATGCCTTTTCAAATCTTGACTTTCCACATAATTTTCTAGCGTCTGAGCTTTTGAATTGACCATACAGCTGTGGTGATGGTACTGGTACTCTTGGAGTTCCTCCACAAAGAGGTGACAATTATGAATGCAGAAATATGAAGCTTCTTCTAAAACAACAACAAAGGGTAGATGTCTTTCTATTTATTCTAATTTAATGAAACCATGTCAGATGGTTGCAACTATGTTTGTGAAAATACATTTTTGTTTTTATAAATTAGTATTTGAAGAAATAGTAAATTCAGTTGGTATCCTATGGGTTTGAAATAAGCACCCTGTTCTGCATGTTTGTGAAAATACATGTCTTTCTGCTTTTGCTTGATTATGTTCATGAAGTTTGCATGTCATGTATGCACAGGTTTTGCTTGGAAGGTCAGATGTTTCGGGATGGGGAGCTTTCTTGAAGGTAAATTTAAAATTTAGGCCTTTGGTTTTCTTCTTTTCCTTTTACTGATTAATTTTAGAAATCCTTCAGAATAGTGTTGGCAAACATGAATACCTTGGTGAGTACACTGGAGAACTGATTTCTCATAGGGAAGCAGATAAGCGTGGAAAGATATATGATCGTGAAAATTCATCATTTCTCTTTAATCTGAATGATCAGGCATGTCCAATTTTCATTTTATATATATATTTTTTATCAAGATGTAGTCACCTTTACCTCTACCAATTTTTTGGCCAATGAATCTAATTCAGGCTCTTTTCTTCAGTTTGTTCTTGATGCTTACCGAAAGGGTGACAAGTTGAAGTTTGCCAACCATTCTCCTGATCCTAATTGTTATGCCAAGGTATATTCTATTCTCATAGCACATTGGAGATTCCTTTCATTCTCTTATACAGTTATTACTCACTTAAAATATTTTTTCCTTCCGTCCATCATGTCTACAAAGCTTCAAGCTTCAAATTGGGTGGTTTGCCTTTTTTTAGTTCATGCTAAATCATTGTTGTTTGGCAGGTTATCATGGTAGCAGGGGATCACAGGGTGGGCATATTTGCAAAGGAACGGATTAATGCAGGAGAGGAACTTTTCTATGATTATCGTTATGAGCCAGATAGAGCTCCTGCTTGGGCCAGGAAGCCTGAGGCATCTGGGTCAAAGAAAGAGGACAGTGCTCCATCAACTGGCCGAGCAAAGAAGCTTGCTTAAGCTAACCATTTATTTACATCCTAAATTCAAATTTTTTGCCATTCTTTTACAGGTGGAAGGATCATTCTCATTGTCCAGTGATAGACTCCATTGATAACTCATTTGATTTTGCCTTTTAAGTTCATCCTCAGTCCACAGGAAAATGTTCATTCATTTGATTAACATGACCTGAATTCAAAACTTTCTTGTAAAAGGGCAACCATGAAATTAAGATCATGCTGACCAAATTTGTTGTGGGAGGTTGATGTTACTGACTGAACCCACTTCCTTTGGTTGCACAGGACAAATTTGGTTTTTTTTTTTTTTCTTTTATTATTATTGAACATCCATTCCCTGTTAAAAATCCTTGATTGATATTGCATTAATTATTATTTGTTTAATATGCCCCGTGATTTACATAAATTGGGGAATCATTAATCTTTATTGATCAGGTGGATAGACAATTTATGGAGCATTTCATCCATTAACGAGTCCAGGAGAGATTTATTCTGGATTCATCTAACACGTTAAATGTTTTCTTTGTGGTATTTATTCCTATCTCCTACCTCTCTGCTTGCCAAACCCAAAACTATGTTCAATGCAAAGGGCATTTCCCAGCTACTAAAGCAAGCTATACTACACCTTACAGCATTAAGAATTGGTTACCAGCCTCTATTAACAATTACCACATACTCCATTGACAGAAACTTCAATGGGAGTTTCCTGCTCAAAGTATGTTTCTTGAAGAACAAGGTTTTAGGTCCTTTTCCGGAGCCAGAACTCTTGCCTCTCATCAACCGCGTTCTTTTGGAGGGCCCTTAACAACTTTATAAAGGAATTGCTTTAAGAGATCCCCTTTAAATTTTTGAGTAGTTTTAAAACTTAGTCAGGTCCAATGTCAATGCAGTATTTAGGCTAGTGAGTTACAACCATTATCAATTTCAGCAGCAGCTGCATAAAAGGCAAAAAAAGCCAACCAATTATCCAAAGTTCAAAAAGCTGCCTGCACCGATTTTTTCTAAAGATGGATGAAAGATGGAAAATCTCTACCTTCAATACCTCAGTGCCCAGCAAAGGGCAATCGACCCCACCATGTGAGGGGCACTTAATCCACCTGGTGGGGCATTGTGCCCCAATGCCCAAAAGGCAAGATGATAAGGGAAAAAGAATATTGTTTTGTAATCCAACGTAATAAATTTACTTTTATTTTGAAAGAAAAACACCCCACATTTGAAAAATCGTTTCCATCTCTAGTGATACCTAACCGCATCCTCTCCCAACACTTCTATGTTAGAAAAATTGGTAAGCAATGTTTTTTCTTTTAGTTTGCTCTGTGTTGGGCTTTGAAATTACAAATTCAATTAAAAAAAAAAAAATCAAAAACTTAAAAATAGAATTCACCTTTAACGATGTCGTTTGGGTAAACTTGGGACGTCCACAATTAGAGGTCATAAAGCCCTGATTTCACGGTTTCAGTGTCCGAAAGCTTTCACCATCTGACACAGTAAATCCTACCCCCTTTTTTTTTTTGGGGGAAACAGTAAATCTGACCATCGCTTTACTTTATCTTGTGTTGTACGCATCAATGGTTTCTTCGACTGCCTCGCTTTCTCCTTCTCTTTGCTGGTTTCTGGAGCTCTGCATAAGCAGAACCCATGTTGGCGTGTTTCTCAGGCCGTCGAAGCTTATGCAGAGCCCCAGCAATTCGTTTCTTCTTACTGTTGCTCTTTTCCCTTTTCGACATTTCCATTTCTTGCTCTAGTGGTAGCTGCCAGGTATCTTCATAATCCGCACCGGTTTTCTTTTGTTTTGATGAGTTTGAACTCAATTTTGAAGAATTTGCAGGTTTTGGAATCATGTTCTTTGCCGACTGACTGTGGTCCGGGTTTGTATTGTGGAAACTGCCCTGCTTTGGGAATGACTCAACCCATCTGTACAAGAGGCCAGGCGACCGTACCCACTTCCGTCGTAAGCTTCATTTGCATTTATATTTGCATATTGTTCATGGGGTATTGGTTGATTTTTTCTTTTCCTTTATATCAGTATCACTGTTTGCGTCGGTTATAAACTTTTTCCCTTTATCCATGTTGGGTGGGATTTAGCTGCTCTTAGGAATTCGGCTGTGAGTGTAAGCAGTAAACTTTGGCAAACTAAGAATTAAATTAGCATAATGTTTGCTTCTTCTTTACCCTTTTTGTGATTCAAATTTCAAACTAATTTGGTTATTTTTAATGTTTATTATTATTATTATTTTAATGTTGGAGATCTTGAATGCAGATTGCTGGTGGGTTGCCTTTCAACAAATATTCGTGGTTAGTAACCCATAATTCCTTCAGTATTGTGGATGCACCGCCGTTGCCTGGTGTTCAGAGGCTTACATTTTACAATCAAGAAGACACTGTTACAAATCAGTTAATGGTTTGTGCTCCTGCGTAATCTTCTAATGAAACAACCTATCTTCTTTTGTTAACTTTTATTCTTTTTGTTGATGATATTGTTTAGAATGGAGTGAGGGGGCTGATGTTGGATATGTACGATTTTGAGGATGATATCTGGCTTTGCCATTCATTTAGGGGGCAATGTTTCAACTTCACAGCCTTTGTATGCTATCCTTCCCTTTTGTCAATTTACAGGTTATATTTTGTTTTTTTAAGGTTGTAATTTTTGAAATAGTATGTAATATGTCCATTGAACTTTCTCAGCAACCGGCGATTAACACTTTAAAGGAAGTTGAATCCTTTTTGAGTCAGAATCCATCAGAGATTGTGACCATTATAATTGAAGATTATGTGCATACACCAAAAGGATTGACTAATCTGTTCACTAATGCTGGTTTAGACAAGTACTGGTTTCCTGTGTGGAAGATGCCAAAAAAAGGTGAAGATTGGCCCACTGTGACTGAGATGATACAGGCAAATTACCGGCTACTTGTTTTCACTTCTGTTGCTTCAAAGGAAGCAGAAGAAGGAATTGCTTATCAATGGAAGTACATAGTGGAAAATGAGGGTACTTATTATTTGTGATGATTTTCTATTTAATACTTTATTTTAAATAACTCTCTAGTAACAATCTCATGATGTACTGGGTTTCAGCTGGCGATCCTGGCGTGAAACCAGGCTCTTGCCCAAACAGAAAAGAATCTCAGCCACTGAATTCACGAAGTGCTTCTCTTTTCCTAATGAATTACTTCCCAACTTATCCAGTTGAAGATGATGCTTGCAAAGAGAATTCAACACCGCTTGCTGAGATGGTCGGTACCTGTTACAAAGCAGCAGGAAATGTGATGCCCAATTTTGTGGCAGTCAACTTTTACATGGTATTAAGTCTGTCACTCACAATAGAATACGTGCTAAATAATACCAACTAAGCATTCTAACAGGAGATAAATCCTGCAGAGGAGTGATGGAGGTGGTGTTTTTGATGATTTGGATAAAATGAATGGCCAGACATTATGTGGTTGTAGTACTATTGCTGCCTGCCAGGTTTGTCCAATTGCTAGATTGAATTACTTCAGTTTCACTTTTTGGCCATTGATCACAAACATTTTTAGTATTCTGGAAAGTGGATTAGGATTCTAGGAGATAGCCTCCAATCCCATCAACCCTCTCAACACTATTCCAGAATCTGAATATAAGGCTCGGAAATTGTAAGTCTTACATTCAAAACGTTGTGGTGTTTCTAGGGGATTG